AAAATGCAAGTTTCTTCACTTTGGTTATTTTGACGAGAGTCTGATTCCACCACGCTGCCTCACATTTTGCTGCAAGCCTGCCCAATGCTAGAAGCGTGTAGAAAGAAATTATTGGCCCAACCCGAGGCAGAGAGACCCAAAACTCAACGGGGGTAAAAAATGTTGTTCCCATTCATGTTAAGTTCCATATAAAGCAAACAGAATTGAAAGATCGGTATGAATAACGTGCGCGTCTTCAGTGAGTATAATTTATTGGCGGCGGAGATCGCCCAGGGTAGTTATTTAATGCCCCGCTTGGAAATATAATATTATGTTGATAGGCGGTACGAAAAGTTTACCTCCTTAAAATGAGAAAAGTGAGCACTGATTAAAAAAGGTTGGCAAGCACTGACTTAACTCAGCCCTGCATTCTTAAATGTATTAATAAATTAAAGGCACCTTTATCGACGTCTGTGTGTACCGGTTATGTGCATTGCTGTCTCACGCAGGAGACCTGGGTTCGATTCCCGAACGTAAAAAAGGTGGGAGGGGGGAGGGAGGGCTTTTATCGAGTGGTTCGGTCTTTCTGCTCGAATATTGTGTAGCTCTATGCTTGGGTTGAAGAGGCAGTAAACTGGGTCAAAGGTAGGATTGTGGTGTGTCATTGTCAGATGTGTAGGGAAGTAGAACTAGAATGTGATGTGTCATTTTAAAAAATTGAGTAAGGCGGAAGATCTGAGAGCGTGGTCTGTCATACTCAATGGTAAAGGCGGTTGGAGAGTGGTGTGTCAATGTCAATAATCATTAAAGTGTAAGTGTAATAAGGTGATTAATATTATGCTTAACTGTGCAGGGCGGTAGCAGTGTGTTGGTGTTTTAAAAATTATTTTTTGGATAAGTGTTTTACGACGCTCGCAACTGCATTAGGTCATATGAGAGCGCGGGACACATTCAACTTTTTCAGTTGGTAGGAAAGTTTGAATTTTGCCCGGATGGCGGCCGAAGCCTACTCATATCGATTTTACACCTCCAATGGATCTTTAACGTGCTCAACTCGAACAAGGGTCCTTCGAGATTCTTCGCCTTTGTCCGAGAAGGCTAGGTGTAGATCTTTCCTACCAGAAGATCAGGGGTGTGGCTGGAAGACAGCAGTAAGAAGGAGCCAAGGAGTAGCAGTAGAAAGGCTGCAAAAAGAGTCAGGTGCAGGTACCCAAAGGAGGGGGGCAAAGGAGGTGAGGGGGGGGGGCAGAAAGAGGAGACGAAAGCAGACAACAGAACATTGATGGAGAGCAGGAAAGGAGGTGAACAGAGACAATTTTAGAGAAGAAAAATTTTCGCTAGCTACCCGGATTCGAACCCGGGACCTATGAATGAGAGGCCAACATCTTAACATCTAGGCCACGAGAGCCCCCAGTGTGTTGTGTCACATTCATCACAAGTGTAGGGAGGTAAGAGGGTGATGTGCCAGTGTGATCGCCAACTGTGTCGGGCGATAAAAAGGTGGTGTGTTATGGTCAATTTTTCACGTGATGGGTTATTTGTTTTTTGTTTTTGTAAAGTGTTTTACGGCGCTCGCACCTGCATTAGGTCATATGAGCGCGCGGGACACACCTAATATTTTCAGTTGGTAGGAAATTTTGAATTTTGCCCGAGTGGCGGCCGAAGTCTACTCTGATCGATTTTAGACTACCAACGGATCTTTAACGTGCGCAACTTGCACACGGGCGTGATGGGTTAGGAAAGTGGGGAGTCATTGGAAGAGGAAAAATGAGGAAAATTCGGAAAATGGATGCTCAACGCGCACAAGTACCCAACCACTCCTCTTGAGCACCACAAAGCCACACATAGTCAGAGGTGTGGTGAACAGAACATTTTGTGGTTCCTGGTCACTCACGACATAAACAGACATAATCTGATAAGGCCCAGTACTAGGAATGTGATAGTGTAAAGTAATAATAATATGTTGCCTCCCAATGGGTTTCTCCGTTTTATACGCTTCTCTTTTCTGGAAGGAGTGAGTGAGTGAACGAGTGAGAGGGAGAGAAAAAGAGAGCGAGTGAGAGGGGGAGAGAGAGAGAGAGAGAGAGAGAGAGAGAGAGAGAGGGGGGGGGAAGAAAGAGAGAGAGAGTGGGAGAGAGAGAGTGGGAGAGAGAGAGTGGGAGAGAGAGAGGGAGAGGGAGAGGGAGAGAGAGAGAGAGAGAGAGAGAGTGGGAGAGAGAGAGTGGGAGAGAGAGAGGGAGAGGGAGAGAGAGAGAGAGAGAGAGAGAGAGAGAGAGAGAGAGAGAGAGAGAGAGAGAGAGAGAGAGAGAGAGAGAGAGAGAGAGAGAGAGAGAGAAACGTAGAATGATAATATGGTTGAGTTTGGTTTTGAATAGTGTACAACAGTGGCTAAAGTGTTGTATTTTTTTTCGATTTTTCATGTAGTTTGTTGGCGGGTGTTCTGTTGTGGTTTGCTCCTTCTTTACTATCGTTCTCATCTCTCCTCCTTCTTGTTAGTGTAATAATAAAATAATAATAGATAGCATTTGTATAGCGCATATCCCCGCTCAACAGCAGGCTCAATGCGCTTTACACTATATTATTACCACAGCAGACCATAGAACACTCCGAAACATTCTCAGCCTCCCAGGAAGCATACAGTGCAAGCAGCTGATTAAGCGCTCAAATACTAACAAACTGACACGATCTTTCGCTGTCTATAGCCGGGTACCCATTCTTACCTTGGGTGAAGTGAGGAAAATTCGTGTAAAGTGCCTTTCCCAAGGACACAACGTCGAGTCCCTGACGGGATTCGTACCCACGACCTTACGGTTGCGAGTCCGAGAGCCTAACCACTAGGCCACCGACGCCATTAGTGTTTGCCTTCTTCTGGCTTGTACTTACTTACTTTACTTTTTTCTTCCGCTTGTACCCTGGGGTGTCGCGGGGAGACACAGGTGTCTGTCTTCAGCAAGTCGTGTGGCCTGTAGGAGGGACATCCCATGATCTTTAAGGGTGTCTGCCACAGATTCACTCCATCGTCGCCTTGGTCTTCCTCTGGCTCTCCATCCAGAATATTTAATGTTGTATGCTCTCAGAGCTGGATGGTTTGAGGGCATCCGCGTGAGGTGTCCGAACCACTTGACCTTTTGTTTTTCAATGTGTGGTAGGACTGGTGTTGCTCCCACGGTGTCCCTTATGACTTCATTTTTAATTTTGTCTCTTCTTGTTTTGTTGACTGCTCTTCTTAAGCATTTCATCTCGCATGTGACCAGTTTCCTCTCTAGGGCTTTTGTTAGAGTCCATGTCTGGCACTGATATGTGAGCGTTGGAAGGAAAATGGCGTTGATGAGCTTCACCTTGGTGCTCATGGGGATATTGGGATGTTTCAGGAGAGGGCCCAGTTGATAGCTGACTGCGTTGGCTCTCTGGCATCTAGTCTCTATCTCTCGATCTAATTTTCCATTTTCTGTGAAAATGCTGACCAAGTATTTGAATTCTCTGCTTTGTTTTAGTTGGGATCCATTGATGTTGATATCCACTTTACCTGGTCTCCTGCTAATTGTCATGACTTCGGTCTGGCTTGTAACACCTCTAATCTATTATTTAACCTAATTGTTTTACAAGTCCTGTAAAACGCTTACACCCCACCTAAAATAAGTACTTTTCACTTTTTTTAAAGCAGGGCTTGTCTTCTGTGGAATATCCAACACACGTTGTAGTTTGTACGTTTTAGCTTTCCGTCTAATTCTGACCATCCGTGGTAGCATCCGATCTCAAAAGCAGATATTTTTGTTTTTAATAATACTTATGATAATAATTACATTTATATAACGCGTATCCACGCTCTACATCACACTCTATACGTTTAACAATGATTATTACCCGCAAAAGACCCAAAAAACAACATAACATTTTGTTTCCCGAGAAAACATAATACAGGGAAAGCCGCGCATTGAGGGCGCTCAAATACTAATACACTGACAAGATCTTTCACTGTTCTTAGCGGGGCACCCATTCCCAGCTGGGCGAAATGAGGAAAATTCGTGTAAAGTGATTTTCCCAAGGACACCGAGTCGGGCCTATGATGGGACTGATCAAACGACCTTATGCGGTGTTTGCACATACAGGAGTAGAGTCGACGAGCAATTCCCGATAAGATAATGCCAAATTTGGGTTTAATCGTGACGAGCATCTGGCCATGACTGTTGACCTTATTTAATCGGCGAGCACCCGAGGAGACGCTCGCCAAGCTTGATTTTGGACAGCGAGCATATCGCCGAGCGTCTAGCCGAGCGTCTTGCCGTGCAATTAGTTTGAATCCTGGCCGCGTGAGGGGGCAAGAAACGCAGCCGCCGAGTAAAATTTCACACGCCGACAAACTCATCGACCATGGTAACCATCTTGCCGAGCCGTCGCCGAGTTAGTCTACATGCGATGATATATGTGAAGCGTGATGACAAAATGAGTTACTTCTCGGAATTGAGACCTATGGAAACAGATACGTCACGCTTATAGGTGAAGTTTTTATAATTTATAAGTATGAAATATTAAAAGGCTTATTATACTTGAAAAATATGGCATCCATAGAAAATCTACAAATTTGATCCTTGTGTCGATTTTTGGCCAATATCTCCTTTTGTGGATTGCGTGAAGTAACTCATTTTGTCAGCACACCTCACATATATATAAAGAGGAGGGCAAAATGTTTGTGCTCATTACTTCAACATGTCTCGTATTATGACACTGACGATGCATGTATACTTCTTGTATACATAATAATGTTGCCCTTGCTGTTGTGCTGGTGCAAGAAAAGGAGAAGACGAGGAAGAAGAAGAGGAGAAGGAGGAGGAGGACCTGTTGGGTTAGCCCATTGCTCATAAGAGCTTAGGACAGTTTGAGAAGCTGATGGCTGAACTGCAAGTTGAAGATGTGGCATCCTTCAGGAACCTCCGGAAAGCTTCTCCAGAGTTTTTCCAAGAACTACTGGAGAATATTGGCCACACCATCTACAAGGCAAACACTTTCTGGAGGCAGTCACTGGAACCTGACATCAAGCTGGTTGTAACTCTTCGATACCTGGCCACAGGAAATAGTTACATGCTCGTCGTGTCAACTATTGCACGCCGTACTTGATTAACTTAGACTCCCTGTGCAAGTTTTTTTTACACAGCGAGCAATAATTTAACCCGCAGAGTATGAAATCTAACTCGGCTACCATTCAGATCTTGTCGCCGTGTCACTGTCTCTCGGCAACGTGAGTACGCATCTTTGTACACCTGGCTATTTCTGACACTCCTCGAGTCCTCCCCGAGTTTTCCCCGAGAGAGTTATTGACTCGGCGAAAATTTTAAGCATGTTTGAAAATTTCGGCAAGCTTCCCGTGTAATAATTTCACACGGCGAGCATGAAATATCACTAGGGAAGGGAAGCCAATTGCTCTGCGAAATGTATCCAGAGTAACCCCGACATGCTGGACTTAAAAATTTTGTCTTACTCGGTTTTGTTACCCTGTATGTGTGAACACCGCATTACAGTTACGAGTCTGGGAACCTAACCACAGGGCCACTGACGTCCAGATCTCTGCGGCATTTATTTCAAGGTCCTCCTACTGTTTCAGTAAATTATGCAGTCAGTCGTTACATTCCCAGTATTAATTACAATCTATTTGCTTTTTGTGAATACCTAGTTGTAACAACAAACCTACCATTGTGGTTTACAACAGATGCTAGCATTTTGTAGGCTTTTTCTACAACACAACTCTGTCCTAGCCTAGATCTTTTCTAAAAAGCCGGAATTATATTTATTTGTAAGTCCTCATGCTGTTTCAGTAAATTATGCAGTCGGTCGTTACACCATGCATAAAGATTAGTATTCTATTAGTTTTTGTGCATCTCTTGTAGTAGTTGTAACAACGAAGACCCCATTGCACTTTACCTCAGGTACTAGCATTTTCAGGCTTTTTTTGTACGGCTAAACTCTATCCAAGCTTAGATGTTTACTTATAAGCTGGATATATCTTTATTTATAGGTCCTCTTACTTTTTCATTAAATTATGCGATCGGTTGTTACACTCTCTGTAATGGTCCCAATCTATTAGTGTGCATGCCTGGTTGTAAAAACAAACTAAAATATTGAGTTTTACTACTGGTGCTAGCGTTTTGTAGACATCTTTGCACCGCAAACAACAACAACAACAGCAACAACAACAACAACAACAACAACAACAACAACAACAACATTGTTTTCATTTGTGTCGGTATTCACATATAGAAAGTCACACGAACTGCTTTAAAAAATCGAGAGAAAAAGGCATTAAGTTTATTTGCTTTGCTCTCTTGGTTATAAACAATATACTTTTGTTGATTTATTTTTCTAGCCCACTAGCGTCTTAATATGGCCATACCACGTCTCACGAGAATTATTTGATCGAAAGAGCTTCCTGTTTCTTTCTGTGTCAGTGATGTGTTGGTTCTGTTTTGTCTTTGTTTTTAAGAGCCTTTTCGTTTTTATGAATTAAGTTCTTAATTCCAGAATTTTATCCACGGTTGAGAGAAAGGCAGGATTTTCCTGGCCCTTTTACTAGTTGAGTAAATTATGCGTCAATCGTTACACTTTTATTAATAGTTATAATCTGTGTTTTTTTCTTCCATGCTTAGTTGTAAGAACGAACAAAGCGTAGTGCTTTCTTTACCAGAGTTTCTAGCATTTTACAGACTTCGTTGTATGGCTCTACTCTGTTTTCTATAAAGCTAGAAGCATTTTTATTTCTAACTCCTCTTACTATTTCAGTAGGTTATGCGGTCGGTTGTTACACTTTCAGAATTGATTATAATCTATTAGTTTTTGTGGAACAGCGAACACGCCATTGTGGTTTACCGCAGGTGCTGTGATTCTTAAGGCTTTTTTTGTACGGCTAAGTTCTGTCCAGACATTCCTAGATGTCTTCTGAAAGGCTGGAATCATTATGTGTGGCATCGTGGTGAAATCAGGCGTTCCTCAAAATATTGAACTCAACTAACATTGGGCAATTTTTATCAATTTTTTCCTCAATACCTTTTAAGTCCAATTCAACGCATATCTCTGTTTGGATTCTGCTGAAAAACATTGAAAAAAACACACACAAAAAACATTGAATTTGCATGTTCCAAAGGGGCTCCGGCTTTGAAAGTTTCCAAACTTTGGCGGCCATTTCTTACTAATTTTACTTCTGACACTAGGCAGCCTCCATTTTTTTCAATAGCAAATGGCTAAAACAGCACCTGGACATGGATGGCTGGTGCCTCTATAAATAAATCATTGATGGTCAATAGCAAATATCTCGACTTCTATTCAAGATACATGGGTATTTTTTCATTTTCAAATAAGACAAATGAACAAACTTTAATATGACGCTGCCTACTCTGTCTATGTGCCCAAAAAATTGGCGAGTGCCTGATTCCTCCG